GACAAGTGTTTCTTTGTGGGCTACCCAAAAGAAACTAAAAGGTATTACTTCTACAACAAATCCGAGAACGAAGTGTTTGTTGCTCATGATGGTGTCTTTTTGGAGAAGGAACACCTTTCCAAAATAACAAGTGGGAGGAAAATCGAACTCGACGAAGTTCGAGAGGAAGAGCAACAAAATCAACATGACAAAACTGACAATCAAAGTGCTTTAGAAGCAGCTGTTGACATTGGTCAGAGTCAAACCGACAATGTGCAAAGTCGAACCGACAATGCAAATGCTCAACCTATTACCCTGCGTAGGTCGCAACAACCAAGATCTCAACCAGACAGATACCTTGGTATTGTCTTAACCGAAGATCAAGACATCCTAGTTATGGATGGAGATGAGCTAGCGATATACAAACAAGCTATGACGAGCCCGACTCTGCATAATGGCAAGAGGCCATGAACTTCGAGATGGACTCCATGTCTGAAAATCATGTCTGGGACTTGGTAAATTTGCCCGAAGGTTATACACTTATCAGTTGCAAATGGATTTTCAAGTTGAAAACAGACAAAGATGGAAATGTATCTATATACAAAGCTAGACTAGTGGTAAAAGGTTAGAGGCAAATTCACGGAGTTGGTTATGATGAAACCTTTTCACCAGTTACAATGCTTAAATCCGTCCGGATCATCCTAGTGATTGCTGCATATTATGATTATGAAATATGGCAAATGGATGTCAAAACCGCCTTCCTTAATGGGATTTTGGAAGAAACTGTGTATATGACAAAGCCGGAAGGTTTGGTTTATCCAAGCAATATCGGGAAAGTATGCAAGCTTAAGAAGTCCATTTATGGACTAAAGCAGGCAAGCAGAAGTTGGAATCTGCGATTCGATGAAGCCATTAGTAAGTTTGGTTTTTATCAAGAATCCAGATGAGTCTTTTGTTTACAAGAAGGTCAATGGGAGTGACACCGCATTCCTAGTCTTATATGTCGATGACATATTACTCATTGGAAACAACGCTAAACTGTTAGGGTTCGTAAAAGGATGGTTTGGAAAGTGCTTTTCAATGAAGGACTTGGGAGAGGCACGGTACATATTGGGCATCAAGATCTATAGGGATAAATCTAAAAGGATGATTGGATTGAGCCAAAGTACTTATATTGATAAGGTAATGGCACAATTCAACATGGAGGAGGCCAAGAGAGGGCACCTACCCATGTCCCATGGCATAACTCTAAGCAAGAAACAATGTCCACAAACACCTGATGAACGAGAGAGGATGAGTCAGATTCCATATGCTTCGCTTATTGGATCGATCATGTATGCCATGATATGTACTAGGCCGGATGTATCGTATGCCTTGAGTGCTATGAGTCGATACCAATCAGACCCAGGAGAGGCGCATTGGACTGCGGCCAAGAATATCCTAAAGTACCTGAAAAGGAATAAGGATAAATTCCTGGTCTATGGTGGCTGTAATGATTTGGTTGTTGAAGGTTATACTGACGCGAGCTTCCAGAATGACAGAGACGACTCCAAGTCGCAGTCAGGGTACATATTCTGCCTTAATGGAGGAGCGTTTAGTTGGAAGAGTGCTAAGCAAAGCACCACTACATATTCTACAACTGAAGCCGAATACTTGGCCACTTCGGAAGCAGCTAAGGAGGCAGTTTGGATTCGTAAGTTCATTGGTGAACTTAGTGTTGTACCCTCCATCAAGGGTCCAATAGACCTCTATTGTGATAACAATGGAGCTATTGCTCAGGCCAGGAAGCCAAGGGAACATCAGAAGGTCAAACATGTCAAGCGGCGATTTCAGATGATAAGGGAATGGAAATCCGAGGGTGAAATCAGAATTTGTAAGATTGGAACAGACGACAATGTAGCCGATCCTCTGACTAAACCTTTGTCTCAAGTGAAGCACAACAAGCACGTGGAGGCAATGGGAATCAAGCATATTGGAGATTAGCTTTGATTTCACTATGTTGAACCATTCAATTTTGGAGCAATTAAATTTTCTGCAAATTTATGATTGCTCCATATCTATTTAATTGTGGTTTAGAATTAAATAATGAGTCCATTCGATTTTTGAGAATATTCAAAATAGGGTATTAAGACCATGTCTTGGATAAAGAAACACCTGTTAAGTGAACATTGATTATTTTAATCGAAAATTATCCCTAATCGAGGTCATTCAAACGATGGACGATTAATGACCACTTGAGATTAGTGTGTAGTATGATTTATAGCACCGTTTCTTGTGCTACAAGGACATGATAGTCATAAATCATTTGCACAGGTACTAGTTTGGAACTATACCCGATAGACCTATGAGAATACTTTAAGAGATTATAAATCGTCATAAGTATATTTCTCATTATAGCTATCAGAACCTTTTTCCTCGACCATGAGTATTGCAAGTTCTCTTGTTTGAGTACTAGTCGTTTTGATGTTGTCAAACATCTACCGTAAATGGGGATTATAACGGCAACACTCAGGAAACTAGGTCCTCTTAGTAAGGGAAGCTTACAGTACAAGACTGGGAATGTCCCCCTATTAACAATAGGGAACATGTCTTTGTTGTTTACATGGCTTCTCGAAGAGTGAGACTGTGAAAATGCATGACCGTGCTCAGATGGATTTTAGAAATAATCTATTTATTTACAGTCAAACTCGGGAATCGAGTAACACTTCTGGACGTAATAAGGATGACGAAGAATCTTACCTTATAGTTCATGAAGGGACATTAAGCGGCACAGGAAAAGGGCTATACACTATTTGCACACTTGTCCGGAAGGACAAGTGGGAGATTGAAAGGAATGGTATCCTTCCAACAAGTGTATTATTTCGATAGAGGGTTCAGAATTATTAGAAAGCTAATTCTTTAGTGAGGTCAAGTGATCGGAATGCCTTCGTGGAGGCCGATTCCGATAAGTAATATTAATGTACTATTAATATTACAGCTTAATCTTGACTGAACCCTTCGGGTCGAACCCAATCGAACAACCGATCCGAGACGACGAATCAATTCGAAGGATGTGATGAGTCATCAGAGTATTACGAACAAAGACGTCGGATATCGGGCTTAGAGCGTCGAGACCGAGCGTCGCAAATTCAACAAGCGACAAGTTTGAGCGAGGTCGTAGCCTCGCATTGACCTAGCCATGCGAGTGCTAGGCTAGCTCGAGCTAGCATGCGCATTGCAATCCTAGCCGAAAGCCTAACATGCATTGCGTGCTAAGCCAAGTGTGCTAGCATGGCTGGCATTGCTGTTCGCAAGCATGCTAGCAGCTAGTGCATGCTAGCGTGCTAGTGTGCTGGGCCATGCACCCAGGCGCAAGCCTACCGCACCTGGCATGTGCATCGCAACATGCTTGGGCCTCGCACAGCACTACACGCAGCATCGCAAGCCATGCGTGCGTGTGTGGCTGTGTGTTCTAGCTATCCATCGCATGTCGCAAGGCATGGCCTAGCAAAGCCCGCAAGCATCGCAGGCATGGTGCCTTGCGTGCTTGCTAGCATGCTAAGCCAAGCGCCCACAAGCATCGCAAGGCTAGGCCTTGCTATCACAAGCATCGTAGGCATGGTCCCTTGCGTGCTTGCTAGCATGCTAGCGCCCAGCCCATCGTAGCCACGCACCAAGCACCAGCATCGCATAGCAGCGTGCTAGGCATGCTGGGCTATACGTGGTGCTAGGTAGTGGCACGCACTAAGCAACAGCACGCTATGCGTGCTAGGCCTCGCGTAGCAGCAGTGACCAGTAGCATCACGCACAGCATCCCTGCGATTCATGGGTTGGCTAGCTCTGTGGCTGCGCATGTGCGAGGGTAGGCTGGCCAGCAGCCCAGCCTTGGCAGCCAAAGCAAGCTGCCAGCCTGCCACGTGGCTTGGTCAGCCTGTCAAGGGGAGGGGACCAAGGGTTGGTGGTTGGCCTGGGGAGCAAGGTGACTTGGTCCCCCCCTTGGGTGGTCCTCACCTTCTCTCTTCCTCCTTATGCCACTTGTAGCTTGTAGATTGATTTTGCATTTCTGTTTTGTTTTGATTAAAATAAAATAGGGAAAATGCAAATCTCCCACATTGATTGAGAATGGGAAATCAAGGTTCATTTCCCTATAGATACCCAAGTTTTGGGATTTGGGAAGAACACTTGAGTGGAACTAAAAAGGCATCTCCTTGAATAAGGGAGAAAACCTTAAGTTCGTAATACTCTAGTTTTTATTGGTTAAGTCCCGACTAACCTTCGGGACTAAGACCATTCGGGTCAGGTTCGTGGGTACGAGCCGTTAAAGACCGTCACGCTTGCGAGGTTTAGCTTCTCAAGTAAGAGCTCGGGTTCGAGCGAAGCACGCGTCAAGGGTATGAACGTCTTTTCTCTTTCTCTCGTTTATTGTTTAATAATGTAATTGCATGCTTAGTTGCCTTAATTCGTGAGCGGGTCTTAGGCGGGTTTCTCTTTCGTGTAAAGTCGAACTGTACGTAACCCAACAGGGTTCTGATGGAAAAAGCCAACTTTATTTTTTTTATGAGGTGGTAAAATAAAACTTTTAATTATGTAGGTGGTAAAAGCCAATAACTCATTTTTTGAAGGTGGTAAAACCCCTAAATATCATAGAATAGGATAGGTTATTAATTTGACTTGTTGGGAAAGAATAATATGAATTTTTCCCCAAATTGAGCTTAAAACACAAAGTATTTTGCAAATTGGTTGCGTGGCAAAACTCGTTTGTTCCTAGGGGAGAATTTGAGAAGGGGATGTATTTTGAAAGTAAGAAAATGCTTCAAGAAATGGTGAAGATGTATTTGCTAGGATTGAGAGTGTCCTTCATTTGCGGTGCAAGAAGAAATGTGATTGGATGCTACGGGGTACCAAATCAAGTGAGCACTCGCGTGGCTTTACCCTAGTCACGCACAAAGGCCCACACTGGGAGAACTGTGTCACTGAAGTACTATCTACTGATCACCCACACTTAGGATTCGTCCATAATATCAGAGTATGTGAAGTCCTTTATGCGGAAAGATCCATCCTTGAAAGTTGAATTCATACAGGAAATCATCTCCAAGCAATTTCATTTTGATGTTCCGTATCGAAGAGCATGGTATGCCAAGGAGAAAGCTATAGTTGAAATATTTGGGGATTGGGAGAGTTCTTACGGAAGACTTCCGCACTTCATGCAAGCACTCCAACAGTCAAACCCGGGAACGTGTGTCGTATGGAAACACAAAGCTCTGGTGGACGGTGTATACTACAGCAACATGGAAGTGTTTGAACGAGTGTTTTGGGTCTTCAGTCCTTGTATTGACGGTTTTAAACATTGTATGCCTGTTATCTGTATCGATGGGACGCACTTGTACAAGAAGTACAAAGGAACACTGTTGGTTGCTACAAGTGTGGATGCAAGCTTCCAAGTATTTCCGCTAGCATTCGCGGTGGTTGAAGAGAAAAACACTTTCAGCTGGTCTTGGTTCCTGGGGTGCATTCGGGTTCATGTCACTCAACGAGATGGCCTCTGTGTTATATCTGATCGACATCCTGGGATCATTGCAGCAATGAATGATCCTAACGTTGGATTCACCGAGCCGCGAGCCTATCACAGGTTTTTGTGTGTGCCACATAGCTTCTCACTTGAAGACTCACGTGCGAAGCAACGACAAGATATGTTCAAGGCTGCGGCGTACCAAAGGCAGGAAAGAAAACTTCAAGCTGATCAGTGTTTCATCGGTGAGGCATGTACCAAGGCCATGGAGTATATTGTTCAAGTCCCGTTCACTATGTGGTCTCTCTTTCACGACGCTGGTCGCAGATATGGGATATGTACTATAAACTTCTCTGAAACATTTAATAATGTGTTGAAGGGAGCTCGGTTTCTACCGATCATGTCCCTTGTCGAGTTAACTTTCCACAGAGTTATAGGTATTTCACTTTGAGAAGGGAGTCTCCTGAGGCTAGGTCTTAATAGGGACTTGCATACCCTCCCCCCCCAAGGTCACTGCCATTCTGGAGAAGAACACCACAAAAGCCAGATATCACATAGTGGATGCGTATAACCGCCGATTGCATATTTACCAAGTTACAACAGAAAGGGGAGAGCAACTTGGTAGTAAAGGAGGCCATAAATATACTATTAACTTTCAGTTGAAAACGTGTACATGCAACAAACCAAAGATACTCCGCCTCCCATGTTCTCATGTTCTAGCAGTCTGTGCGACGTATTCACTATCAGAGCGGCCGTGGGTGGACCCTGTGCTGCAATCGGAGGCCTACACGAACACCTAAGCACCATAATTATGGCCTATCCTCTACGAGACAACCTGGACGCAGTACGTCGACCCTAAACTCATTTCAGATGGCAGCATGGTACGTAGAAAAGGGCGGCCAAGGTCAAAGCGCATACGCAATGAAATGGATGAGACTAACCGGCCCTCGAGCAAATGCAGTCGCTGTCACCAGCAGGGTCACAACCGGACAACGTGTCCATCTAGACCGACATAGGACCTAAGTTTGTATTTGTTGTTTGTTTTAGTAGTAGAAAGAAGAATTATTTTGTATCAGATTTTCTAAAGTTTGTAACATTTGTAACATTTGGATTATTTCTATTTTCTACTTTGGATGTCGTTTGAAATTTTCTGTGTTTGCCTTTAACTCGTCCAGCTTATGTTTAATTGCTAATCCAGTAATTGTGTTGGTATTTTGTATATAACGTGATATCATGGACGAAGAAGATAGGACACCCGGACCTGTTGACCCTTCTGTCCTGACACTACAGGACAAACATCGGAGCGTTGACATATGGGACCAGACAGTAATATTTCATCCGTTATTTCATGTACTTTTTTTTATACATTGATGTACTATCTAATATTAATTACGGTCATACAATGATTTTTTAGGTTGATGTAGCGAAGATGTTGGTTTGCAGGCACTACACTACCAGGGTTATGGGCGACTGGGTTGTCGATCCACGCATTATTTCGTACGTAGAGTACGCTCGCTTTGGTGGTATTCATCATATGGCGTTCAGAGAGATCGATCGAGCGCTTGTCCCTGCGCTAGTGGAGAGACGGAGACGGAGACAAGAGACGTACTCCTTTCACCTACCTGTTGGGGAGGCGACCGTTACGTTGCGGGACGTCGCGATACTCACGCGCCTTCCTATACATGGGACTGCGGTGAAAGGACATGCGTTAGTCGATCCCGTTGGTTTGGTAGCCCGGGTTCTCAGGGTTCAGCCGGGTCACGACGAGATTAGGGGCTCCAGGTTGAGGACCGGCTGGATACGCGACACTTTCCGTGCGCTGCCTGCAGACGCTGATGACGCCACGGTTCAGAGACACGCTCGAGCATACTTGTTCCTGCTCATATCGAGCGTGTTGTTTGGCAACAAGAACGGGAGCCATATTCAGCTTATTTACCTACAGCTGTTAGACCACGATTGCGATCATATCCGTGGATACAGCTGGGGTAAGGCCTGTTTGTCGATGTTGTATCGCCACCTAGTCACGTGCGCCATCTGCGCGCTACCTCGAAGATTGTGTTGGACCTACCAGCACAACTTCCAGAGTTGCGCGCGTTGACGAGTACGAAAAAAACATACATGTAAAGGAGTGGACTTCCGGTGAAACCATTCTCGTTTGGATCCCCTCTAAGGCAGTTCAAGCATAGCATGGTTTCCGCCAAGGCCAATGGGGCGGGTGAATGACATCCCTCTATTTTCTCTACTATGGACACCATCAAATAATCTCTATATTCTTCACCTGTCTTACGTAAACAATTGACAACAAGACAAAAAGATAAAGTACGAATTTTAAAACGTTGTTTAGACAAATTGTTTCGAGGAGTTACAAAGTGTTCGATGAATTGAATCAAATTCACGCTTTTCTCCGTATCAATCGTGGCCATAACATTATCATTCAAACCAAAAAATCGTTGAAAACCAGGTTTAGAATCCAACAAGGTACGGGCATAAGTCACAGGGAGAATATTTGCACAGAAGCCTAGTAGAGCCTTAAACTCGCCAGGTAATAAGGTTATTTCATCCCCTTTGAAGAGAAAAAGATGGTGGTTTGAGTCCCAATGGTTAACGGCAGCATGAAGAAAATCAAAATTGATATTGAGTTTCATGTAGCTTAATAAGACATCTAAGTAGTATATTTTGAAAGCTAATGTATCCTCATTAGAAAGAGAGGTGACCCATTGTTTCAATCGTTGTTCAAAGGTTTTCACCATTGTAAAGAGAGTAATACAAATTCTTTTGAATAATGCTATTGTCGAATGAATGGGAGATGATAAAAAACCTAAACGTAAACGTAAAATCAAAATTGATATTGAGTTGGATGTAGCCTAATAAAGCATCTAAGTGGTACATTTTGAAAGCTAATTTATCCTCATTAGAAAGAGAGGTGACCTATTGTTTCAATCGTTGTTCAAAGGTTTTCACCATTGTAAAGAGGGTAATGAAAATTCTTTTGAATAATGCTATTGTCGAATGAATGGGAGATGATCAAAAACCTAGGCGTAACCGTGTTTAAATAGACCAAAACGGTCCAATTTTTGGCAAATTTCGCCAAAAGGAAAGTTCAACCGCAGGTGACTCGCGCAACTCCGCACGTAACTAATTATTATGCGCGCGCCTTGTCTGTCGCAACGTATTTTTGGTTACTTTCGTATTTCGGTTAACGAATAATGGAAACATTATTACGGTTCTTATGATTAACCCATACGCTTGCCTTTTTATTCTTTACTTCTTTTTTTATTTCCTTTTGAAAGGAATGGTGTCCTTCGAACAAGTGTATTATTCCGATAGAGGGTTCGGAATTATTAGAAAGCTAATTATTCAGTGAGGTCAAGTGATCGGAATGCCTAGCTGGAGGCCGCTTCCAATCAGTAATATTAGTGTATAATTGATATTACAGCTTAATATAGACTAAACCCTTCGGGTCACACCCAATCGAGTAACCGAACCGAAACGACGAATTAATCCGAAGGATTAAATGAGTCATTAAGATATTACGAACAAGACGTCGGATATCGAACTTGGAGCGTCGAAACCGAGCGTCACAAGTCGATTCGAATTTAGAATTCGACGAGGCGAGAAATCAAGCAAACGACAAATTTAAGTTAAGCCGTAGCTTTGCATTGGCCTAGCCATGCGAAGGCTAGGCTAGCATAGGGCACCAACCGCATCGCATGGCTGTGCCGCAAGCCAAGCATGCATGTGTGTGCTAGGCTTGCTGGCCAGGCATGCTTACGGGGCTGGTGCACCTAGTCGTACGCATGCTAGCAGCTGACGCGCCATGCGTGCTAGCGTGCTAGTGTGCTGGGCCTCGTACTCAGCCGCAAGCATAGCAGCAGCTAGGCTGCGCCTAGCACGAGCGTCGCATCAGCAGCAGCAGCGTGCTATGCGTGCATGTGTTGTGGAATGTGCGTGCTTACGTGCTGAGCAGCGCCTAGCACAAGCAACAGCTAGCTAGCGAAGGCTAGCGATGGCAGCACAGCATGTGCGTGTGCCGCACAGCAAGGCTGGCAGCCAGACATGCCTTGCGCCCATGCCAGACACAGCTTGTGCGTGTGGCTGCTCTTGAGTGTGGTTAGTTGTGCGTGTGAAGGCATGTGTGTATGGGTTAGCTTGGGAAGCAAGGGGAGGGTGGTCCCCCCTTGTGGTCCCCACCTAACCTCTTGCTCACCACTTGACACTTGTCGTTTGGTTATTTACTTGCATTTCAATTGATTTTTGAATTAAAATAAATTAAATAAAGTGCATTTTACCAACTCTCTCACATTGATGGGTGATTGGAATTCAAGAGCTCCCTTCCCTATAAATACCAATCATTTGGCATTGGGAAGGGACACTTGAGTTGTGAAGTTTAAGGGATCTCCAAGAAGAGAATACATTAGTTCTAATACCCTAAGTTCTTTTGGTCTAGCCCCAACTAAGCTTTGGGGTAGGCACCGTTCGAGTCTGGTCTCGAGGGTGCGAGCCGTCGGAGGCTTGCGCATTTGCGGACTTTACGCTTTCAAGTACGAGCTCTTAGAAAGAGCGAAGCACGCATCAAGGGTAAGATCGTCTTTTCTTCTTTCTCTCTCCTTGTTAATTAATTATGTGATTGTTAATTAATTAATAAGCATGTTTAGTTACTTTAATTTGTGTGCGGATTTTGGGAGGGTTTCATTCCGCGTAGTGTCGGACACTACGAAACCCAACACCTTTTCCCTTCCTTTTATTTTTACTTCTTTTTCTTTCTTATTGCTTTTTTCCTTTTATCTCTTATTTCCTTTTTTCTTCTTTCTTTTCTTTTTCTTAAGTTTCTGTCTCTTTCCTTTTTCCGTTCTTTTTTTTAAAGGGGGGGTAAGTCGAGAACCCTTTCCCTCCCTCGAGAATTTTTTGCAAAATTTTTCACACATATTTATGGAAAATAAAATACGATAAATGGTGATATATACAAAATACGTCATATGTACACAAATTGTATAAAAAATAATAATAAAATATATATATATATACATTTTCCATAAATAAAAAATATACAAGGAAATCAAGATGATCGGCGGCTCTCGGAAAGCTGCTGCATATCCTGTAAAATTCAAACCAAAGATCAACACACATACGTGTAATAACTTTGATAAAAAAATATATATAAAAAACTTACCCAACCATCCGCTAATCACGGCATTAGCATTTCAAAGCCACGAGGGCTCTCCGATAAGCAGCTCGGAAAGCACGTAGGGTCCTCACCATGCCATTCACGATCTCCAGCGGAACCTGTTCCGAAAAATAAGACAATTATGAAAACGTATATGATAAATAATAAAAAAAAAAAACTTATGTACATACACGAAATAAAATTTACCGACTCGACCGTCTCTGGAACGAACGATATGTCCTCATCCTCCGATGCTGGAAGAGTCTCGTGAATCACTAATCCTAAGG